CCCCAAAACCCCAAAACCCCAAAACCCCAAAACCCCAACTATTTTAGACTTGTTGAATATGGGGTGCGAATAAATATGCCTCGCTGATGACTTCCAAAAATTATCTCCTTATCCTATCCAGAACTATGCATGTAAATAATTATGCTCTAAAAAAATTGTCTGGCAGCATATTGACCCAATTTTTTAGCCAAAAGTGCTAAAAGATCAAAACAGTGCTTATAATACCCTTTTGGACAAATTGGATATGGACTGATTGGTCAGAGGATATTTGTAGTGATGAGAAAGGAGAGAGATTTAATTGTAGACTTGTTTATTGGAGTTAATTTATGGCTTAAAATATCACTCAAGATGACTATGTACTATTTGGTAGGGTTCCTACTCTGTCCATTTTCGGAATCAAGGAACTTAAGCTTTTTCTTGCAGACGTTCGTGCAATTGCACTTATTCTGCTTGTAAGATTCTCACATTACAGGGAGGAGTTCTGGGCAAACGTTGCCGTTTCCTCATAACTGTCTTCATTGTTTCGTACTTGTGTTCGTCTCCATCATTAAATCGAAATCAGTTATTGGATTCTGAGGGCTTCCAAAATTGAAACTCTCCTTTATGCATGGAAGATTTAATAAAATTTCAGAAGGAATTGTTGCCTTCATAGGTCCGCTTAGTAGTCTATTAATCCTATCCCACCTTGGCTTCTCATTCTTAAAATTCGGCTTTAAGTTCTTTAAGTCTTTTGGCAAGGAAGGTAGCTTAGGGGGTTGTTTACTAAAAATTAAGACATAATCCTACAGTAAAGTGTGAGGAGCAGCCTTGAGATGAGAGCCTTCTTCTTCATAACTAATTTTAATCTGGCTCTTGTCTTTCTTCTTTTTCTCCTTGTTTTTATTATATTGGAAAGAACGATCCTTGATTTCTTCAACAGAAGACAAGGGAGAAATTGACTGTACTCCTTGGCTAGCTGGATACTTGGGTTGAGGGATTTCTAACTTCACAGTTGTGAATACATTTGTCTTGTTGCTATCTCAAAACTCATCACCTTCCTTTTTAATCCTCTTATCTCTCCACTGGTTATCATCTAAATGATAAGTTTAGGACTTCAAGACTATGCCAAGGTTTCAGAAATATTGAAACTTTGTGGTAAGAGCTATTGGAAATATTTGACCAAATTTGTGCAATATTAGGATCCTCCCTCACATTTTGGTGAGTTATGGCTATTCTGACAGCATTCTAACATTCCCTCATTCTGGGCTACACTAAGCTTATTTAGTTTGTTAGCAAAACATTTAGTTTATTTAAGACTGGTTTGTTTTTATATTCATTACAAAATTTGCTCAGAAGATCCAACAATTTTGAATAATGTTAGAATACCACATAATTTTGTTAACTCTTTACCATTGGGTTGAGTCATGAACTTACCTTGACAGGGGATAATATTTAAATTATGTTCCTTGCCCTCCTCCTGATTATCAGACTTATTAAGCTCCTTGTTCTTGGGTTCGGGGTTCATTGCAAAGAAGTTATCATTCATTTGATTCGCTCAAGATTTCAAAGCTACTAGATTGTTATAAAAATGTTGATTCACACTGTTAAAACTATCTCATTCTTTAAGCGAATTCTCCGAAATTGATTCTCTTCTTCTGAATGCTAAACTAGGCTGAAGCTTAATGGTCTGGCTTTGCCTCTTTGACAATGCCGGCATGGGCTGAGCAGAGCAGCAGGGAGATTTTTGTGGAGAAATTTCATCATTTTTCCTTGAAGGGTGAAACTGGCTTCGAGACTTTTTGCAACCTCATTTGTTTTTATCATTCAAGTACATATTTTTAGTAGAAAGTTGAGTTACTTCTTCTTTAGTTTCTTCATTTAGAGACTCTTCGGAATCTTGAACGTGGTTGAGATACTTAACTGAGGTCTTATTGTTGAGCTTCCTTCGGAGCTCAGGATTCAATGCTTTCTTGTAAAACGACTCTAGTAAAAATAACTGGCCTATTTTTCTACACCGGACAACATCATCATTCACAGTAGTGGATTTTAGCTTCTTTAATTCACCTTTGTGATAAGTTTGATAGTGTTTACGCAAGCTAGAGTAGTAGTAGTACTGTTTAGCAGTCCCAGCTGGACAGAATTTGCATTGGTATGTCTCTCTAATGTTAGAACTTTCATGAGTTTGTTCGTGCTGCTTCAGGTTAGACCCACTAGCAAATTTTTTGGGTCAGAATCTTCATTTATAAGGCTTTTCCCCAGTGTGAATACGCTTGTGACGAATCAAGTTTGAGATTTGGCTAAATGCCTTTCCTCACCCTTTATGATCACACTTGTAAGGCTTCTTCTTATCGTGAACTCTTCCATGCTTTTGAAGGCTGCTGTATTGTGAGAATGTTTGCCCACATAATGCACATTCGTAGGGTCTCTCTCCTGTATGAGTTCTATTATGGTCTTTCAGGGTTTTCTTGCAGCTGAATGTTTTACCACAACCCCTGAAACTGCAAGCAAAATCTCCACTCTCATCTCTAAATTCATCAAGATTAATATCTTTTCCAGACATCCCTATTGAGTGATTCATGTATTTATAAATATTATTTTTTATAGCAATAGACATAGTTTAAACACGTCTCCTGCTTTTGGGGTTTTGGGGTTTTGGGGTTTTGGGGTTTTGGGGTTTTGGGG